AAATAGTGGTGGTGGGGGTAGACATAAGAGAACCTAGGTATTCATCAGTAATACAGGCTTTCCACGCAGATCTTTTTCTGTCACTTGAAAATCTCACTTCACTAGCTTACTTTCTCTCAGTGCAGATATGAGATTGTTAGTAATGATCTGAAACACATTTGCCTTACTCATAGGATCACATGTGTGGAACAAAAGTTCAAAATCCCGCCTCAGGAGTTTAATCTCCACAGTACTTCTTATTTGGGGAAAAGGAGTGTAATGCAAGGTCTAGAGAAATTAAGCATTAAAGCGACACTTAAAAGATCAGTTACCCATTCCATCAGTGAAGCTCATAATATTTAAATGCCTCCCTAAGTCCCCCAACTTTAATTACCTCATAAGTTCCCTTTAGTGCCAAACTATTCTCTAATACTAAACCTGTCTTAGTTTCTTGATTTGCATGCCTATTTACACGGTATTTACAAGAAAAACTTTTAAAACCCAGTGAAAAATCTAACCACTGTTTCACCCACAAAGATAGAAAATGAGCCCATTTTCAGAAAAATTACCATGATCATCATCCAGTTAAGTTCCATGAGGGCAGGGCTTTGTTTACTTCACTGCCAAAAATGGTGTCTGGGACACAATAGGTGCTCAGTAAATTTTGTTAAATGAATGATCTATGACAGACCCTGCAGGGTAGCAGAAAAAAGAGGAAATGAGCTAGAATCTGAGGCAAGAACTGTTTTCAATGTTTCTTGTAATCACTGCTAGCTATTTAAATATGAAATCAATCAAAGATATATATATATATGAAAAGTGACTATACTATATAGGCATATCTATATACATATATATGAGTTCTGAAGATAAGATTTCATGTAGAATTCTTTGAGCTTTCTAATATGAAAGAAAAAGTGTGTCCATGTGTGAATTTGATGTAATGAAGAGGGCAGGGGGAAGGAATGCTTACATACGAAACATTTCTCATTTCACATGAAGTGAGTAAAAGGTAGTAGCAACTGAAATTTCATCTAATTCCTGAACACGTATACCCTAAGTCCTAGGTTTTTCACAGCACTTTCGACCTATAAGCCAATCACTAAGTCACCCTGAAAAAGCAGGTAACAAAATAAATGACTTGCAGTACAATTTTTCCTTGGGTTGGGATTTTCCCATGTTTGGTAATTTCTAAAAACATTTTACCTGATGGTATTTAGCCAATTTTTTTGTCATGCATGCAATGCAAATACACGCTAGCTAAACGGTCTTGAAGTTCAACAACAACAACAAAAAAAAACCCAAAAGAAAATTCCACACTAACTCATTCCCTGCTGATAGGTTCACCATCTTCATGATGCACCCTGGTGTTCAGAAACGTGCACTGGAATAATAATATTCATCATACTGAACTACTGCTAACGATGCTGCTGGCTGTCATGCGCTGAATGGCCACTGTGTACCAGGCACCTAGTACGTGCTTATTAACATCCTACAGCTTTCAGTCCTGCCAACAGTCTGAGTAAGGGGCTACTATTACTTCTCCCTTTTGGAGATGAGAAAACTGAGGCCCCCAGAGGTAAAATAACTTGTCCAAGATCAAGTGAGCGAAGGAGCCATGATTTGAACGCTGCCTGCAGAGGTCTTGAGAACTAAGATAACATTGCCTCTTTGAACTTTGATTTGCTTTACCTGACCACCTTTTAACAAAAGTACAGGCATAGTTTTCAAAAATAATTCTAATATTTATCATGTTTATACTCAAATTTATGACACATTTCCTTTCCAAAACGGGAAAATATATGATGACTTTCCTCTCCACGGAGGGATAATGGTCCTTCCTGCCCGCAAAACGGTTAACTTAGTGAGACTCTGACCCAGTTCTAGCTGCGCTGTGTACTGCTCTCTAGGCATCACTGCATTGTTCTTTTTAAACTAGCCTGGTGCCCGAGGTTAAAAAATGACAAAACAGAACCTAGAAAAGCATATCATCTAATTAAATGTATTGGTGCCAACACCCGATATCAAAGCAAGTCAAGAGGTGCCTCGTTTGTGGGCTCAAGGATGGCTGCAAGAATCTGTTGACCCCTAAGAGTTCAACAGGGAGGCCAGTTCCAGAGAGAATGATACAAGCACTGTCTCATCCCCAAAGCTAAGTCCTCTCCCAGGACTCTGGACTTTAGAGCCTGGCAAATGGGCACAGCACAGGTTTAGGGATCAAACAGCTTGAGTTCCAATCCTTCTCACCTTCCCACTTGCTAGGTATGTAAATGTGGACAAAGGCTTTTTAACCTCTAAGATCTTCCATTTCCTCCTGGTAATGGGAACTATATCTACTCTAAAAGGACATTGTGATGGCTGCATGGGATAAAGTATGGGAAGGCCTAGCCCACTTGCTGGTACACAGCAGATAGGTAACAGATATAAAATCGTCTTCCCCCTCCTGAAAGGCCTGCATTGCTGTGTGGGAACTGACTCACACTGGGTTGCAAAAGATGACTATTAAGTTTTCAGAAATTTTGCAGGCTGGTTGTTAAATACAGCCATTATTTAAAAAATTAATTATATAAGTTTAAAATTAATCATGTCAAAAACAAAGGTGATAAATACTCAAAGCTCATCATTTCCTAGTTAGTTTACTTCACTTAACTGTTACCTATGCTCTTGAGGGTATTTATGTCTATTGTGTATTAGGCAGTGGAAATACTGCATAACGGTAGGCTACGGCACTTCTCTCCCTCTCCACGGTCAGTAGTGACATCACATTTGTAGCTTGAAATCAGCCACGGTAAAAGTATTTACAAAAATTGGCAAACACTACAACCCAGGATTCCTTTTTTGGAAGCCAGTTATTAAACATTTACCACCATACCACTGGTATTCATATTTGCTCTTATCCCTTTCTGCTCCAGCACCTCTCATCTCTACTCTCTACAAGTTATCTACATATATACACACATCCATCAAATTTAAAATAAAAATGAAAACAAAATCCTAACACTCCCCAGTTAACACCCTTTTTCCCCATTCATTATCCAATTTACTGAAAATGTTCTATCTATGCTTAATTCCAACACTTTCTTACCATCCTATCATTAATTTATTCATGTCACAAATATTTGAGCAACTGCTATTAGCCAGACACTCTGAGAGGAATTGGGGGTACAAATGTGAGCAAAAACTGACACGGCCCCTGCCCTCATGGGACTCAGTCACACTGCAGCCTGACTTCTGTCCCACCTTAAAAATCCACAATGCTCTATCAATGCCCTTTTTTTTTCCTCCTCCTCCTTTGCCTCCTGAAAAACAATTTACGATTTCTCCAAATGTTTTGTCTTCTTTTCTTTGATGGCCCTCTACAAAAAGTCAAGATTCTCTCAATGTTTTGACTGTTTCCCTCTTTCTTCCTCAGGAATTTCATGCATTACTGTGTTTTTATCCTCCTCCCAACCCTCAGAAAACCTGTTTTCCCTCACCTTTCCATCTCAGTAGCTGATGCCACCATCCACTCAGCTGTTGAAGCCAGAATCCCCAAAACACGTGTTTCCTTCCTTCCCCTCAGCTCCCAAACATGAGCAAGCCCTGTTGAATCGGTATCCAAAAGATATCCCAAATATACCACATCCCTTTCTCCCAGTCTCCATCACTCTCAGCCAAGACCCTTTCTTTTTCCTCAGTTTGAATAAAAGCCTCCTAGCCCATCTCCCTGCTGTACTTTTACCCCTCAACATCATGTACCACAAAGAAGGCAGAGTGAACATTTTAATGTAATCATTTCTCTCCACAATAAAAGAAAGAAGAAGGAAAGAGAAAAAAAGAGAAACCTCCCAAATCCCCCCGTTCCACTCAGAATAAAAACAAAACTTGCTTGTATGGCTAACATAGCCCTTCATTACCTGGGCCCTGCCCACCCCCTGACCTCACGCCTTCCAATCCCCACTTGCTCACTTCCAGACCCCAAGTCTGGAACCCTCTGCCCAGATCTTTACTGATGGTTGCAGAGCTAGTTCTTCCTTTCATTCAGGAGGATTCACGAGGCCCTCCCTGAGCAGCCAATGCAGATTTGCCCTGACCAGACGGCTCTATCACTCTCTATGACATGGTCCATTCATGATTGGTGATGCAGTGTCTGTCTTCCTCTCCTAGAAAGGAAGCTATAGAAGAGCAAAGACCTTGTGTTTCTTACTCACCAGGATGTCTCTAGTACCTAGAATAGTGCCTGGCACATGGTCGACACTCAATGAATATTTGTTGATGACTGAATGAATGGAGCAAGATTTAAAAAACAAAACCAAGAAAAGGTGGGAATAATGGAAAACACAGACCCTGAAAAGAGGGAGTTTTCTGGAACTGCACAGAAAAATAAGACAGCAATCTGAAGTGGTAAAGTGCTAAGAGTATGAATCGAATTTCCATCTTTATTAAATTCTGACTTGCCCATGGCTTGAGCTGTTTTAGAGGCAACCTAATTTAGTGAAAAACCTGTTCTGATAAATCTATGTTAATTTTCATGGCTAGGTCAAAATATTAAAAAAAGAAAGAAAGAAAAAAGAAAACTCCATGCTTTAAACAAGATTTCCTTGCATCCTAATAAACACTGCTGAGAGGCAGAGTCCCCTGGGCTTCCTCCCATAGTTGTGCTTTAATAAATTCCTGTCTCACACACAGAGCAGAGAGAGCGTGGGGGGAGGTAGGCCACTCTCCTCCACAAGAAAACCAAGGGCGTCAGTTATCCAGTACAAGGTTCTTCCACGAGGGAAGCAAGAAAATGTTTGCTCTTCTTAACTGAGGCTTCACAGGCCCACACCTCACCCCACTTCCAAATAACAGCAGATAGCAGGGCTTCTTCCAGCCACTCCTTTCTTATTTAATC